ATTGCAGCGCCGGATCAGTGCACGCACGGAAGTGCAGCGTGGGGGGGAGTCCTGATGAAGGAGGAGAGAACCGATCCAGCACATCGATGAAGATGCAGCTTCACAGATATGGCCGCCGAGTGGAAACATGGCAGGGCCCAAAGCCAACAACACAGACGTGTGGATGGAAGCCCTCATGCAGAACTGCGAAATAGCAGCAGTACGAACTTCAACTTCGTTTCCCAGCCCCAGCTTTGTGGCTGGGCTTCGAGGAAGAAGATGACCTCAGCCAAAATAGCGCAGCAGCGCTCCAAGAGCAGCGAAATAGCAGCAGAGTGGGAACATCAACTTCGTTTCCCAACCCCAGCTATGTGCCTGGGCTTCGAGGACGAAGAAGACCTCGACCAAAAGAGCACAGCAGCGATCCAACAACGGACGGTCAGAGTGTCCCCAGCCAACGAAAACGTGAAAAGACACCCAAACCAATTTCCTACCCACCACTTCTACTCACGGACTAGACCTGGACGGACTCCCAGGACAGCAGCCCAAGGATCATCTGTATATACCCAGAAACTAGGGAAAAGGGGGACCCAAACCCCTGGCAAGGCAAAAGGAAAAGGCCGAATGCCCTTCAGACTGCCACATAGGCACTACTAGTGACATATCTAGGTGTAGGTCTCAAAACTAACAAACAAACAAAACATACCATCTGTATCTACCCAGAAACTAGGGAAAAAGGGGACCCAAACCCCTAGCAAGGCAAAAGGAAAAGGCCGAATACCCAGAAACAGGTCACGGGATCAAGGCCCACAAGGCTCAAAACAAGAAAACAAACTACAAAGCCGAACACTTAGCGTCGTACATGCAAGCAAGTGGAAGTCGTGCCGAAAATTTCGCACACTTGGACCCGGACGGTGCGGCGCACAGCATGTGCAGCTCACGGGGGAAATATTCACCCCAGAAGAAAAAGGGGTCGCATGACTGGGTCAATGGCCACCTGCTTCCCCTTTCAAGATTTGTTGCGGGATGGGAAAAACAAACACAAAACTAGTGGGACTGTGGAAGGGTAATGCCGCTACATAACGGTCAAGACTGATGTCCCAGCCACCTCTTTCAGGCTATTTCTCTCTTATGCCCAATCGGACGGAAAGAAAACTCTGTACTACGACTGTACTGAAAAATATCAGTTCCTTACACTAGGTGTTTGCTGCACTCTTCTGTATCTACAAAAACAGCAAAAACACAAAAACAAACGGGGGAGTTGCTGAAGGTACGGTGCACGAGCAGGTGCCGCGCCGCACACTGCGCAGCGCACCGGACAGTAGGGCGCACGGTGCGGTCGCAATTATGCTTAGCGTACAGCCACACTGAGAAACTGCGATTTACTGCACTTACCTCCTGTGTAACCATTGTGCTTAACGACTTTGCATCTACGTTTATATCTTGTCACCTTGTGTGCCAATCCCTATCATAACCATAACCTCTTCAGAGCCATTGTTTTTTTTTTTGAGAAAAGGAACCCCTTGATCATTAGAGCTGAAGACCTCACCCCTTCAACGTCGGGGATGCTGATGCCACACTGAGAAACTGCGATTTACTGCACTTACCTCCTGTGTAACCATTGTGCTTAACGACTTTGCATCTACATTTATATCTTGTCACCTTGTGTGCCAATCCCTATCATAACCATAACCTCTTCAGAGCCATTGTTTTTTTTTTTGAGAAAAGGAACCCCTTGACCATTAGAGCTGAAGACCTCACCCCTTCAACGTCAGGGATGCAGATGTCGCTGCTGCTGCGGCTCGTGCTGCTTTCCTCACTGCTGCTTTCACTGTAGTGATGTTCGGAGAATCGGCCTGCATTCCTAGGGTTCCACGTGTGCCTTAGCCGAAAATATTTGGTGTCCAAATCGTTATCTGGGCTCGGGATAAATGCCGCCTGTAGAATTTATTCAGGAAAGAAAACAGACAAACGTGCACAGGTCAATAGGCACTCCAAGACTCCAAGTAACTGTGGAAATACAGACTTGCGTTCAAAACCCGACGGAAGCAGACATATCGAATCCAACCATTAAAACAAACACCAAAACAAAAAAAAAAACAGAAAGAGGACAACAGGGTTGACGATCAAAAGGGGTCTTAATAAATTTTCCAAATTATGTCCTTCGGGACATCCGTTAAAATTGGAATGAAACACAGAAGATTCCCTGCCCGTCCCCTCCCCCCCCTCCCCTCTTCCGCAAAGATGCAGAAAAGATTAGTGTTATGAACTTGGTTGTCTGACGATTTTACCGCCACTCACACACAGACAGTCTCATACATGCCCATACATGCATAAGAGAAGGGGGAGAGGAGACAGTCCACACTGCACACAGATCAGAGTAGGCAGCGAAATACAGCTATGTATAAATGATATGATTACATGCTGCGCACCAAATTGCAAACAAACCGTGCAAGCAGTCTTATGTCAACAAATGGAACAAAAGTTGAGTTCCGGGAATATGCACTTTGCCTACATTGGTTTTGTATCCCGCTTTAAGCGACCCTTTCACCAGCGCTATGCACAGATAGGGAGAAGACACACAGTGTTTCTCATTCTCTGACAATACTCCCAACTGCATGGGTCCTGAAGACCATCTCACGCAAGTGTGTACATGTCACGCATCATCCTTGCACACAATGATCACGAGTCTCACACATTAGACAAAGGTAGATGAGAAGAGAACCGAGTTGCACAACTTATATTATCAAATATATGATTACAAAGAGTTTCAATGCTCCCTGAGTCCAGCGCTTATCAGCGCAATGCCAATCCAGCATCAACTCATCACTGTGACTTCCATACATCAGCGCTACTTCTGCAGAT